GCCGTGCCCCGCCGCGTGCGGGGGACCCCTCACCCTTGTGCATGCCGGTGTAGCGGTCCTTGAGCACGGTGAGCTCGTAGATCTTGCCGAACTGCTCGAAGAGCGGCTTGAGGTCCTTCTCCTCCAGGTTGCGCGGGATCTGCCCCACGAAGAGCTTGATGGCATCCAGGTCCTTCATGCTGTCGGGCTGCGCGGGGGGCTCCGCGCCGCCGCTGCTGCTCATGGGGGAGGCTCGGCGCGGCGGCGGGGGCTGCGGCGCGGGCGGGAGCGGCGGCGGCTGCGGCTGCCTCCTCGCCTCGCCCTCGCGGAGTCTGGCCATGCCCCGCGCCCGGCGCGGCTGCGGGCGGACGGGGGAGGCAGCGCGCCTGGGAACGGCCCCGCCGCCCGCGCCGCCGCCGCGCAGCCACAAAGGAGCGCGCTATGGCGCCCTCTGGCGGCGCACGGCGGTACGGAGGCGCTGCGGGGCGGCGGTGGGCGATGGCGCTCCGAGCGATGCTCGGGGAGGAAGCGGTGCGGCGCGGCTCCGTCCTGGCTGCGGATCCCGGCTGACCCCGCTCAGGCCGTGCCGGGTGAGGTGCAGCCACAGCGGAGCAGCTGCTGCCGCCGCCGAGCTCGGACCTGCCTCCCTGTGTGACAACGGGGGCTGCTGTCCCAGCAGCTCCTCCAGCTGCGGTGATGCTGCGAGGCAGCAGAGGAAAAGCAGCACATTGTGGGTGGCCTGGGCCGCTCCCACCTCTGCTACATCGGGGTGATGCTGAAGCACCAACCAGCCCACAGTTCTGCCCCTCGAGCAGCAGCTGCTTTCAGAAACTCGGCCACTGCTCCCGGACCGGGCATCGTGGATGGAAATGGCTGCTTTACAACCTTTGATCTGGTTCCCCAGGGCTGGGAGAGAACGACTGAGCCTTCCCAGCATCACGGGTTCATAGCTTTGGCACACACAGTAGGAGTACACAGCAAGCCTTAACAACCAGCAGAGCTTTTCTGCCATGGAAGCAGGAGTCGGGCTTGGACAGCAGTAATTGCAGCCCTGCCCACACACAAAGCTTCATCTTAGGAGAACGCACTGATGAACGACCATCAGGACTGACAGCCCTACACTCACTGTAGGATGACCGAGGTGAGCAGCAGCAAAACCTCTTAACAATCACACACAGCCAAGAGCTCTCAGCCCAAGGACTGCCAGACTTCCAAGAGCAGCCCGGCTGTGTGACACAGCACAGCAGCACACCAGTGCTCTCACCAGCCAGAGGGCCGTGGCACTTTGCTATGTGAGCACAGGACGAGGGGGAAGGCAGCAGTCACTGAGCTGCCCATCCTCGCACCCCCTGAGCCCTTCAACATTTAGCTGAGATGGTTTGATGGTTTTTTTCCCCTCACCCCCTCTTGCTCTCCCTATTGGAAGTGACAGCAGCTCGGAACTCAGCCTTTAGGAAAGCCTACTTTCAATTCACAGCTCCGCCCCACATCTTCCACTCAGTCCCGAGCTGTCACAGCCCAGCACCTCTACAGAGCAACGGCTTCAGTACCTCCTACTCCACCAAGGTGTTGCAAGTGTCACAGGGATATATTTAAGAGCAGGAAGCGCTCGGATACTATGGAAACCAGGGCAAGGAGAGAACCCAAAATAGACAGAAGACGCAGGCTGCTGCAAAGTCTGGAGAAGTCTTGCTGAGGAGGGCTGTGCTTGCTGCAGCTGATCCTGGAGTGTGAACCATTTAGAGCCCAAGCAGAAAATACCCTCTCTCTATTCTTCCCGTAGCTTGCCATCTTAGGCTTTGAATTTCCCTCTTTAATAAGCCTCCAAAGTTCCTTTGAGTGATTCCCATTCTTCCTTCCCACGGCCTGGAGCAGGCTGCTACCTGACTGCTTCTATACAGGAGTATTGGGAATGTATGAGAACAAACAGGACAGAGCACTCCTCCTGAAAGGAGAACAGCAACCTATACACACCTGAAACAAGGAGCTGAAGTGCAGTGTTTCACAGGCAGGCAACTCTTTGTAATGCCAATGCATTTATTGTGCACGTTCACCCTCTACAAACCAACTAGTTGCTGAAGTATAACAACTTTCTTCACTCCAAGAATATTAAAAAAATATCAAAGAGAAATCCCAACAGCACAGAGAATACTTGAAATACCCAGAATGGCAAGTAGAAAAGATAGAAAAGATGATGACTTGAGGTATATAAGCCATCTTACTCAGCACTCAACCAAGTGGAGGACAGAAAAGATGCAGAGCAGCCAAAGCTGCAGACTGGCAGCCCTGGAAAGCCAGGCTGCAGCTGTGTCCTCCCAAGCACTCAGAGCTGCTCAGTTTCCTCACCAGCACGGATCTCATGTCAGCTTGAGACCAGAGGGGCTGAAAACCTTACGCTGGTTCAAGTTCCACGTGCTCATTACAAGTGTCAGAGACGCTTCTATTTTCATTACCACCACCTCAGTGCAGAAAACCTCACATGGCCAAGGAAAAGCTCCAGGTGAGATTTCTTGGCCCTATCATTCTCAGCTCACTCCAGGGGAAGGAAACAGATTGAAGACGTCCAACATCCTTCATCTCAGAATTTCTTGACTGCAGCATCAATCTCAGGAATTATCTCTTTCAGCTGGTTCCACTGTTCTGCAGAGAGAGCAATGCCTGGAAACAGCAGAAAGGGCGTTCAGAGCAAGCAGTCAGCATCAAGCAGCATCCCACAGCAGCTCCTTCAAAAGAGTTACAGAAGGAAAAGGTGCAGCCTGAGCCCAGAAAAGAAACAGGGGCAGCCTGCTGAGCACAGCAATTGTGTCAGTGCTTCAGTATCCATATCAGCAAGTACTCAGTGCTACCACAAAAGCATTGTGTGAGAATAGAAGATCAAGCTGCCTTTCAAGGAGTTCTGCAGCCTCTTTAGTCTGTTCCCTAGGAAAATTCCCACCTTCATGAGCTGGAAAGAGATTTTAGGAAAGCCTTGCTCTACCCAGCAGTTAGAGAACCATCCTTTCCACCACCCAAAGGAAATGCCAGCTCTAGCTCTATTTAGAAAAGCTGCTGCTAACAAGAAACCACGACTATAGCTTAAACTCTAGAAAAGAGCTGGTTTTTTTATTTTTAAGACCAGTAGAGATAAGGTCTTCATTTCCCTTCCCTCTCCTTTAGGAAAGGAATACAGTCATGGAATTGCAGAGTGGGTTCCAGCTAAACGTTATCAACTTGTTCCTTATGGCTTTGTTAAAGAATGAGGGCTGAGCTTTATTAATTTCTCTAGATAAAAATCAGGGGCCAACAACTCCTGAGAAAAACAGCAGAGGCATTAATTAAATGAAAAACATTTCCTCCTGATTTCTGTTCTAGCTAATAGATGTTCTGTCTTCAGTTGCAAGTATGCTTTTTGCAGCCTTGGAAGGTGCCCACAAATGCTCCTTTCCCTCTCCACCCCAATGGGCACAGAAAGATTTCATTGCTCTGCTCCCAACTTCCAGGGTAAGCAGCTCCCTCTGAGTAATTTATAGCAGCCTCTTCCTTGAAGGGAATTAATTTCTGCAAGGAAAACTGTGCTTAGTGGTTATGGAGCAAACCAAGCTCAAAGAAATTCATCTGCCTTAACACAAAAATCAATAGCAAGGATCAAAACATTCCTCAATTTGTCTCACAGGAGCTGAATCTTTGGTGAGCCCTACAGCACTCATGGCAGGAGAGAAAAGCAGTGTAATGGTCTGGGGCTGTGAACCTCAAGGCAAGCTGGTAAGTCATCGTTATAAGTGCCAAAGCGAAAGAGGTCTAAGCTGAATAGTGACCCATCAGTGAGAAACCAGCAGTACCTTTCCTCCCCGGCTTCATGTCCCCCTCCTTGTCCATATAGAACTCCCTGATGTCCACCAGCACCTTCCCCTTGAAGCAGGACACTCGGACGTAGCGCATCTTCCCAATCTGCAGGAACACAGAGCCAGCGTTGAGCCCTGCCCCACAACGAGCTGCTCTGCAGCCCACAGGGTTGTTCACAACACCAGAGGAGCAGCGAGGGAGCAGCAGGCATCCCAAGAAGCCAACTCAGTTACACAGGAGGAGGAGACCTGTGCCACGAAAGGAAGGTACGAAGAGGAGCACATAGAGGAAGGGGGCTGCACCCTCCATACCTGGAACATGCCCTCTTCTTCACCGTCCTGGCCCTGGGGCTTTGATCCCTGGGGCTTTGCTGCCACTCTCAAAGGCCCAGCCTCCGTTTTGGGCCTTTTCTCTGACTTCAAAGGCATTTCTTTCTTCCTTTTCTAGAGAGAGAGATCACCAGTTTCAACAGCGTGGCCTAAAAGCCGCAGGCCTCCCCCTGAGCCTTCAGTGCCTGTGCTCACCAGCAGCACCCACCATTCCCAGGGCCCACAGAGCCCGTCCCGTCCTACGGGGCGACTTTCACTCAGGAAAACTACAGCCAGCAGGCACGTCCTGGCAACCCCAGAGCAGAGCTTACCTTTCCCTCCTCTTCCTCTTCTTCCTCCGGGCTGCTCCCCGGGCCGCTCCCCGCCAGCTCCTCGGCCTTCGGCATCCTGAGGTGTGAGGGGAGCCGCGGCCACGACCCGCCCGCCTTCTCGAGGCGCCAAGCCCCGCCCCCATCCCGCCTCTTCACCAATCGTGCGGCTCCCCTGCTCCTCCAGCCAATCCCCTGGCTCCCTTGCTCTTCCCGCCAATCTCACGGCTGGAGGCGCGAAGCCTGAGGGAAGCTGAGGGGCCGTGAGGGACGCGGGGCTGCGCTCCCACCGAATAAATGGGGACGCGCACTGCTGGCCGTGCCGGGATCCGTCTATCCGTCTCAGGCTGTAAACCCAGCTCTTTCCTATACAACTATTTCACTTTTCACTCTACAGAAGGGATGGAGTCTGCCCTGAGCGCTTCTCCCCACGTAAGGGGGATATCTCCTCAGCAAACGCTTCCCCAACGAACGCGCCACCAAACCTTCTCACTCGTAGTTTATTTTTCCAAAGGGACAAACAAACATGGAAATGAAAAACGTTAAAATATTAAATACTGTCACATCAGCAGGGAAAACAAAAATAAAAATAATAAAAAAAAATAGCACATTCATCGACTGCATTGCCTTCGCTGTCAGCTGTTCAACATTCACCTCGACGTACGTTTGTTCTTTGGGATTTGAACAGTTGTGTTAACCATACCGGATAAATCAACACCTCTTCCTGAGCTGTTCCACATCACGTTGGCCCATGGCTACAAATGGGAACGGAGCAAACCAGAGATGAACACACAGCACAGCGAGGCCGAAGCGTTCTTAGCCCTCCAGATCGTTAACTCAGGGCTGAACGGCTCTAAACATCGAATCCAGCCTGACCTCGAGGTGCTGGAAGCTCGTTATGTTGGTTTGTGTGTTGTGAGCGTGGTTTAAAACAAAGCCAAAGCCAAACCCAAGGCCCGCAGCAGTTTGGGGCTACGTGGGGTCTTAAAGGTTGAAACGGATTGCAGTGACTCCTTCCAGCTGGCCGCAGTGCTATTTCACAAGGGTAAACCTCTCTTATTCGGGAGATAAGCTACAAAGCCTGAACGAATCCCACGTAACCCCCAGTGCTTGGGGTGGGGAATGGACAGAACGAGTCCAATCAGTGTTGGAAACACAGATTTCTGCACACCGTGATCTCTGACAGCACCAGGACAACAGGCAAAGTTCTGCTTTTTTGGCTACAAGTGCAACTGCTGGCTTCTTGCACATACATGGGCATGTGTTTTTCATGCTCCTTCCTTCCAGGCCAGGCAAATTCCCAATTAAAGTCCAGGTCAAAACAAGAGCACGAGAATCTGCTACAAGAGCTCTTCTGTAACGTAGCGGAGAACCTTTATTTTAGCACAACAGCCACTGGGTTGCTGCTGCTGCGTGTCACGCTGGCAGTGAGATTCATCAGATGTGCTGCAGTATGAATCAGCACCCATTCACTTGTCACTTCAAACCGTGGCAGAACAGGAGGGGATATTTCCATGCTGCCCTATCGTCTCCCCATAGGAAACGTGGCAACGTTGGCACTAAGCTCACTCCCAGGATGGTCGCTGTTCCAGCTCTAAGTTGGAATTTAACTATATAACGTTTCAGTACAAACAAACTTTGATCAGAAGCATAAACCCTTATCTGTAGTAAAAATGACTTCCTATGGCAGGCAGCTAGATGGACCAATTAGATGGTCGGACAAATTATGGCTGTGCACAGAACAATGCGCGATTCCCAGCTGCCCCTGGGGACGTATGAACTTTCCTCCTTCATCTTTACTCATCTTGTTTTCAGCCAGCTGCTTCTAGCACTGCAGCAGGAGCATTGCTTTACAGTTGAGACCACGAGGAACTGAAGTGTTTGCTTTAATGCTATAACCTCGACCAGGACAGAGCTGGAAAAGTGGAAGCTGAGAGTCTCCAATGCATAGAGGAATGCTTTGGGCCTGTCCTTTTCACTCTTGCCAATTTTTATGTTCCCCAAGCGAAGCTGAAGAAGGATTGCTGATAATTCTGACTTTCCTATTTTGTAATAGGGCTTCATTAAGCCTGCTTAAGTAACATGGAGTGAAAAATGCCCCATCCATGGGTAACAGACATAAAGGATGGGGTGCAGCTGGAGACCTCTGGTGCTGCCTCCAGATATTCAGAGACACGTGCTGTTCTGTGCACGCCCTGCATCTCCAAGCCCAGAGCTGCACCCTCCAGCACGCAGTACGTGCAACGTCCCAGCGCAGTGGAAAACAACCCCAGCTCATCTTCCAGCCGCTCTAGAACAAGCAACCAATCTCTGAAGTCATTATAAATCCATTCGGCAGAGGGCTGTCACAAACACTTCATGCATACAGAGAGACATATTTCAAACAAGAACTCAAAAAAAAAAAAAGAAAAAAAAAGGCAAGTTTTCCCGTAGGGATGATATTTCAGGAGTGCTCGGTACCATGCCACCTGCTGATATTACAAGGAGCCACAGACACAGCATGCTCTCCTGGAAAAGAAAAGAACCTTTAAAGAACAAATTGCTGCACGTTAAATATAGCAGAAAGCACACGTTATGGGGCAAAGGTGTGCAAGGAGGGGAAAACAGCAAAAAACAACCAAGATGGATGGAAATACGTGCGTTGGTCCCCATCCAAAGGGCACAGACAGTGGCCATAAAAAAAACCTTTTCTAAGGAGTGAGCACAGAGCAGCTGTGATGCAGATAAGGAGGCAAAGCTGAATTCCTTGCATACAAAACAAAAAGGACACCATCGTTCAAACCCGTAAGAGTTTTTCATCCTCTGTAACAAGTGCTGCTTTTATTTAAAGCAGGGGTTTTCTAATTGTTTTTTTTTTTTTTTTTTTTTTTTTTTTAATGTAGTCATCATTGCCTGTGAAAATACCTTCATGTATACAGGACAAAAAATAAAGGATGGACTCAGGGAGACATTTTTGAGGACAGTGGCATTCAATCCCTTTCCCCTCTAGAACTACAACTAGCTTAGGGCTTGTGGTCAAAAATCATCATATATTCAGAACCTGGGGGTAAATAGAGCACAGCACTGCCCTGAAAAAGCAGCCAGCTCTCTCTAGAAATAGGCAATATCCTCCTCTCTGGTGGTGGCGGCCAAGAAAGGCTTAAAGATGATGGCAATGTCAGAGCAATGGTAACCTGCCCCTCCCAGCTCTGCCAGCCAGACTGCCAACACTTCTGGGTGGAGAGAACTGTAAGTGAGGATTGCTCCAGGGTAACAAAGGGAGCTCCAAGATACACTCTCATAGTTACAATTCTCCAATTGTTTAAAACAACATGTTTAAAACAACAATCATAAAATAGATTGTGGGTTTTTTTGTGTGTGTTTGGTGGCTTGTTTTTTTAATGGCCAAGTGTCTTGCCTCCCTTCTTACACAGTGGGGGCGGAGTGTGAAGGGAGGCAGCAGCAAGCACTTTGGGAATTTGCTTATACATGCAGGTCGAGAACAGCATTTTCAGAAATAACAGAGCTGAAAAACATAAATGAGACCCTGAGATGCACGTGGACACAAATACAGCCCCAAAATCCAGAACCCATCCGAAAGCACAAACTGAGGAACGAAGATTGATCACAGCTCAGCAGGAACCGGGCTGTTCTTGCAATTAATGCCTAAATACATAAAACAGCCCAGAACGTGATCCTGCAACGTTTGAGACTGTAGAATGCCTTTAAAAACCAAGCAAGAGTTTAGCACATAGTGGCAGCAGCAATCTGTCCAAGGACAAACTTTAAGAGAAATCAAGTACAAAGCAAAATGCATCCTCCAATAGGGGCAGGACGTGTCCTGGTAAGAACCCTTCTGCAGGAACCCGTTTTAACAAGCTTTCTTCATCCCCTCTATAACAGTCAAGACTGTTTACAGTGTACCTCCAAGAAAAGGGAATGAGTTATTGCACTGTCTGAACAAATTGCATAAAGATGCTTGCTAGACACACTGCTTGCTCAGCACATCTCCCTAAAGCCAGGCAGTAAACTTAAGAAGAGGTACCATAAGAAAACATGCTAATAGTACTCTCTTTAATTTGCGTGTGCATATTTTCTTCTAAGCAAGTGCTCTGAGTCCTTGGTTTGCTGGGCAGAGGTAATACATCTGCTCTGTAGTTTCAGCTTCCGAGTTGGCTGTATGGCACAAACGTCCACGAAGGTGCAGGACTCGGGTTTATACTCACAGAAGCTGCTCAGCATCAGCTGTTCAGTGTTTAAACAACTTGCAGGAACTACGGAAGTCTCTGAGCTTTTCCCTTGCGGAAAAAAAAAGCAAAGGAAAACAAACCTGCTGCAAGTGAGGGGAAGGAAAGCGCCTAAAAGGTGCATAGGAGTTGAAATTTTGTTTTCTTTCTGCCTTCCTCTCCTCTCTAGGACAGCAAAGAGGAGAGAGAGGAAGAGAAGCAGCAGGATTCAATGGAAGGCAGAAGGTTCCTGATGGGCTCACCGATGGCTCAGTGCTGCTGTACACAGGACGACTTGTCGCTTCACTGCTGCTTGGTTTTAAGGGATAATCTCTGTATCATCCTGTAAAGGAGACCGAAGTTCTGGAAACAGAAGAAAAATAAGTACCTATAAGTGCTTGCAAGTTCTACTAAAATTAACTGCCCTACACAAGGAGAAAAATTACTGGAAGGCTTAAAACAACACTAACATAGAAATGCAGTATCTTGCCTGGATCACTAACAGCCTCAGGACTGTGTGGGCTTTGGTGAATTAGGACTGACTCCAATGGTGCCAGTTAATTGGGGCTGCACAGAAAACAGCAGCTTACAGAAACTCTGTGCAGACCTGCATCACTGCTACTGTGAAAGATGCAAACACTTGGTAAAGATGTTCACTGTTTCACAAATGCCTTAGAGGCTCACTGAAGTCTTTAACTGCATTCTGAGCCAGTAACAGTTACTGAGATGTCTGACGGACATAACAAGATCAAATAATTTGTAACAACAAACAAAAACCAAGTAGTTTTGCAGCAGGAAAGAAAACAGCAGGAGTGGGAAGGGATCGTCCTTAGCACAGCCTAAAACACGAACACCAGAACAGCCAGCCATTCTGGATTACTTATTTTAGAGTGGGATGGCATTATTCTTCCAAATTTGGTACTGGGGCTGTGTAAGCACCACTTCTTGCAGCTAATGTGATTTAAGAGGAAAATAAGAAGTTTGTTTCCTGCTTTTCTCCTACCTGCACTGCAACGTAGGCAACACCAAGGTAGGCTGCTATACAGACGGCCAGAAGCAGGTCAAAGATTGCTGGCTTGACCCTGCAACAAGAAAAAAAGAAGTTGTGGAACTGCAACATCAGGTAGTGCTACAGAGACAGACAACAGCTTAGCACACCCGAGGGCCGTACCTGTATGCGTTCATCACCTGCTTCAGCTGGTCATAGAAAACAAACTCAGGATCCCTGTGGAAAGCAGAAATTGTTCAAGATGGCTGAATTTCTAGACAACGCAGTCAGAACAGCCCAAATCTCTCCTCCCAAGAAGTTAACCCAGCCAGGGTCAGGCAGTATGACCACCTTGGGTGACAGTTCCGAACTTATTTTAGTTGTCAAGTCTTTCTACAGGTAGGAGCCCAAGGGTGCAATTCTGAACATAACATTCAGCTACAAGGCACACAGACAATGCCCTGCTGGACTCAGGAAGCTGCTTTCAACCTAAGCAAGCTAGACAGGAAGGAAGCTGCCTCTTGGCAATTAAATGAAGTTTTTCTAGGGGGTGTTTAGTTCTTTCTCGATGAGAAGCAGCACTCAGAGTGGAAAGGGTAGAATCAAAGCAGGGGATAAACAAGCTCTTGAGGTGGAGCGAATTGCTGAGGCTTTTTGCTCTGTAAATGATTACGAGTTATCTCTGGGAGAATGCAGCATGAACCAAAACCATGTCACTTCTAGCCACCTACCAAGAACTCACAAAGGTTCCAGCTCAGAGTCAAGATTGAGCAGAGGGGGAAGGCAGTCTGCACGCCCTGGCTGTTTTTTTCACCTCTGTCCTTACCGTTTGTCTGCCTTCACGTGATGCTGTTTGACATCTTTCAGGTAGCGACCCATATAATATTCTAAGGTGCTGAGAAAGGTGCTGTCTTTATCAATCAGCTGAGCAGCCCTGGGCTGACTGCTCAGCCAGTCCATCACTGATTCTAGCTGCTCCTCCTGGATCTGCTGTAGGAAAATACCACCAAAGAAACAGAGTCAGCTACACACACTGAAATCAGAACTCTCCCAGGCTCCTGATCCCTTCCCCTCCTCTGGTTACAAAAATATAGTGTGCTTACCATCTGATCCGTGAAGATCTGCAGATCTGCAGGTGCTCCCTGGAAGGGAAAAGACAGGTTGCTGCTAGGAGCAAGCTCGGGCGAGCAGGAAAGGCTGGCAAGCACTGCAGGATGGGCAGTTCTTACCTTCTCTGTCAGGTTGTAGATGACCCTCGTCAAAGCCTCAGCAATGATCCTGGTATTCCTGGTCAGCGCCTTTGTGTCCACTTGTGACCTAAAGCAACATGGAGGATCATTCACTTGTCAACGAGATCAGCTCTGCCAAAGCCCACCCTTAACCCAGAGGCCAACTGCCCATATTTTCTTCCCCATCCCATAACTGCCAGAACAACGCTTGCAGTCCTGAGGCCAGTTTGTGTTCATGGATTTCGCCCACAGCCTCTCACCTCCTATCCATGATGCTGTTGCGCAGGCTGTCCCGATGGCTCTCCAGATGGGAGATGGTGAAAGCTGGCAAGCGCCGGATCGCAAAGCGTTCGTGCTCCCATGCCAGCATGTCTTCAGCCAGGTTTATCTTCTTGTGCACCATGGAAAACTTCACCTCTGGGAACTGGCTGGCAACAACCTGCGGGAAAGGCAAAGCCATTCGGGGCGCCGTGCTTCCCACTGCACCATCTCATCTTGCACAGCTCAGCCCAACCAGACCCAATATTTTCATATTGCAGATGGTAAATATGCTCCTGCCTGTAAGATGCCACTGATGCTATCAAAATGTTATTTTAGTGTCACTGCAGAAGTCACATGGGTCGTTTTTACAAGCAACAAGTCCTAACAAAGCACTGTGGAAAATGCAGCAGATATAGCATGCATCATTCAGGACTGTGGTGTGAGGATGTCTGCATTCCAAATCAAGCAACCAGAAACAACACACACAATATTTCAGTGATAGACCCTTTCTTCACATCTTCCTCCCTTTCTTCCTCTTGCAAGAGAGCCGCAGCTCCCTGAGGTTAAGCCCCAAGTTCCCATCCACCCAACCATTTTCGTTACCATTTCCAGTTCTCTCAGAAACGCGTGCTGCAAGGTCCCCTCCTTGGGAGGCTTTGAGACATGAAGATGAAGGCTATTGCCTTGGCCGAGAGTGTCAAGGCAGAGAACAAATGCTACATTGTCTTGCAACAGGCTGGAATCTGCAAGAGAAAAATCCAAACCTTTAATGCTGTGCTTTGTGCTGGACTTCCACCCTCCCCAGAAAAAGGCCTACACAAGGAGATAACATAACAGACTTAACACAGTGACATTAAAGAATCCTTGCCAGAGGACATACTGGAATGACAGCCCCTCAGCTCACCAGTGTGGTCCAAATTGTCCTCCAGCCACCTCTTGGTTCCTTGATAATTAAACTTTCCACCTCCAGATGCAAAGAACAGTAAGTTATACCTGCCCATCAAAGAAAACAGAGAGGTATTAATTAGGACACAACACTAAATTAACAGTGATTAATTTACTGTATTCCAGAACTAATGTGCTCAGATGTGGGCTGAATTCCCATCAGTTAGCACCAGATACAAACTGCCTGTCAACAAACGCTTCCCATGTGCCACAAAGGAAGGCAGTGGCAAGATGGGGGTAGAGGAGCTCGCAGTGCTTGAGGATGGAACCCAGCTCCTAAGTTATTCCATCCACTTGTCCCTGCAGTTAAGCAGATCTACACCATGAAACAAAGGAAGGAGTTTGGCCCTTAACAGTTGGTGTACTCAGAAGGAAGCACAAGAGGGAAGCAATTAGAAGACTGCTTGTATGCTATAACAGGTCTGGAGCAAAAGCCCTTCTTACCCGATCTTAGCTACATCCAACCCAAAATGGAGTAGTTTCTTACCCAGCATGGGTACGTCTGTAGGTGTAGAGCCGAGAAAACAGCCTGGCTAGTTCCAGTAACACTGAGACACCACTGCCATTGGAATCAGCACCATGAGACAGCCACTGCAAGACAAAGTGGGACAGAGACAGTGACAGCAGTGATTCTTGTGCTCCAAAACAGCCTTCAAGATAAACACATCTCTGTGCTCCACTTAGAACTAATTTTGGTCTTTAAGAGCAAAAGAAAATACAGGGTCAGAGGCCAAAAGGAAAAAAGGTACGGATGGGAGAGAAGGCTTCAAGAAAAAAAGAATACTCACTGGAGCCACTCCAAAAGAATCGTAGTGGGCAACTATCACAACAGTGGGCAGGTCTTCTCCACCCAGCCCTGTTAGCCTCCCCTGGAGAGGAAGGAAATAAATGTCACTCAGCAACCCTCCTTGTGTGCCAGGACTAAGACAGTGTGACTTCTACAAACCTATCAAGTCTCTAAGTGGTCTCAATTCTGAGGAATTGAGATTCTTACCCGACTTCCCCCATTAGTCTGAATGGCTGATGAGATCCCCACAGAGAAGGCATCCCATCAACATCACCAGTTAGAATCTGTCTGGAACTCACCTCCACGCTGGGTATAAGCCAGTCGTGGATAGCTTTGCTCTGCGCCCCACTGGTCACCATCTGGAAGCCATTGGCAGTTGCAGTGTGAAGCAGAACTGGAACAAAAAGAGATCACCACACCTGGGGAAGTTTCACCCCTCCATTTCCCTTGCTAACTGGAGACACGAGTCTCAAATCACTTCACCCTCCCAGCTGTCATTTATGTTTATGCGCTGACTTGAGATCCAGGTGACCACACTTTTTCATTCTGTTCTGAAATCCCATATTTCAAACTGACTAAAACAAAAAAGACCCTGAAGATCTAAAGCTCACCGTGTTCAGCTGGTCCCTAAGACAGTAATGTTACTCACAAGGGAGAACATGGAAGCACAGAGCTGACCTGTGGTCAGACAGAAAGCTTCAGCTTCTCTCAACTGCAGTCCCTTAACATCAGTGCTGTTTGTAACACAAATCTTGCCTTCTATCTTTTTAGCGACAGCGTAAAGTTGAGAACTCACTCTCATGCAAATACAGTAAATAATTATTCTCACTTATGCTGTGTTTTTATCCCACTAGATCTCAAAGAACTTTAAGAAAGACAGAATTAAAAGGAAGGCTGGTCTGTGCTGCATGCAACACGGTGGAGCAGTCTCAGAGGTGGGATCAGGATTGCCTTTCCCTACGCCTTCTCCCACTCACTAAAACTCACCCTCTGCAGCCGAGGCAGAGCCCTGTGATGCAGAAGCAGCCCGTGTTTGTTCATAGATGGACAGCAGCTCATCATCTTCCACTGCAAAGTAGACTGGCACAATGGTTTCCATAGCGAGCATTTCTGGCTCTATCTCCATGAATTGCTGAGGATTTAAGTGAGACACAAACTTAGCAAAGGCTCAACATGCAAGAGAATAGGAAAAGGAAACGGAAAACAAACCAGAGAGGGAAAGATAAATTTCCAAATGTGAATGTGATTTGTTGTGTTACAGCAGGTGCTTTCAGCCCTGCAGCAACCCAAGCCTCGCTCCCTCTCAGATACATCTCCCATCACAAGAGAAAGGGAAGGAGGTGGGGTTTTGGTTTTTTTTTCACCTTTACAACATCCTGTGGGACAGAAGAGATGGACCGTGGCAGGATGATCACCACAGCACCAGCTGACTGGCGGAGAGCCTTCTGGTACTGCTCGTAGGAGAAGTCCAGCAGCCGCATCATGACGCAGCGGCGGCTCAGGACGTCCGCTTCTACAGTGCGGGCTTCTGTGTTAAGCACTGCACTCCTGGTGCCTGCAGGGACAGCAGGGAGAGGGTTAGTAAGCAGTTTCACCACATCCCCTTTGCTAGAGCTTAGCTCCTTCTCCAAACGGTCTTGGTCACAGCCTGATGAACTTCAGAGCCATGTCTATCTGTGTCTGTTCTTGCTCATCCACCCACCACGATGCTTCTGCAATTAAGAAAGTTACAAGCTCTCAGCTTCAGTTTATCAAATCCTCCACACAGAAGTAAAGTCCTTGATAGAACAGCAATCCAGAGGCTTCGAACAGCTCCAGCACTGTGGAACAGAGAACTAGAAGGATATCTTGTGTAACCAGAGATGTTCAGAACTACCCCACCATTTATAATGCTCCAAACACTCTTTATTCTTCCACAATCCTGGCTCCTACAGTGAAAACTTCATCATGGTCAGCTCACAAGCAGCAAAGGGTGGAGCAGGGTGCTCCAGAAAGCATCTCAGCCTATGCCAGAGCGGACAGCTGCTAAAGGTTAAGTTTAAAGCTTAATGTAACTCTAACACTAGCTTGATCTTGTCAAAGGTCAGAGCACCTAAGCCAAAAAACAGGCTTGCACTTCCCCTGCATAGCACCAGGGAGGGCCATACTCCCAGACACAGAGGTCAGCCACACTAAAGCCTTTGTGCAGAGCTCCTATGCTGCATAACTGACAAATATTAAGAATCACAGAAAGGCCTGGGTTGCAAAGGCCCACAGTGCTCATCCAGTTCCAACCCCCTGCTGTGTGCAGGGTCACCAACCAGCAGCCCAGGCTGCCCAGAGCCACATCCAGCCTGGCCTTGAATGCCTGCAGGGATGGGGCATCCACAGCCTCCTTGGGCAACCTGTTCCACTGCCTCACCACCCTGTGTGTGAAAAACTTCCTCCTAATATCCAACCTAAACCTCCCCTGTCTCAGTTTAAAGCCATTCCCCCTTGTCCTATCACTATCCACCCTTCCCCTCAATCCATAATGAAGATAACCACTCCACCACCCCCAAACCACGATGTCCAAACACAGCAGTGTGATTCAGGGACGTCCCCGAAGGCAGACATTTCAAAATGTGGACACACTCAGAGATGAAGGAGCTCAGTAATAACTTCAGGTGCTCAGAAACCACCAGCAGCATCTGCCATATCCACAAAGCGCACAGGGACAGCTGCCCTTTCAGAACTTGTACCATTTAACCCCATGAAGCCTTGCGAGGCTTACAGACAATCTCTATCACAGCACAGAATGAACGTAGGCCTGTAATTCCAGCTGTTAACAAAACCTGAAACTCAGAGCACAGAAAGCCAGCAGGGCAGAGCTGCTCACAGGCAGAACACGTCCTGATGTGGGATGAATGACTGCAGAAAACTCAGACGACATTGGCTCTACGTTAGGGAATATGAGGAAGTGGGGGCTGAAGGTTACAGCACTCCAGCAATTCCCAGGTTGTGTTTCTGCCCTGAGGAGAGCTGTTGCACAATCAGCAGCCTGCCTGGAGCTGAGCACAGGAACTGGAGGTCATCGGGAAGAGGAGGGAAGAGCTGTGAAAGAAAGAAGGCCTCTCGCAAGGCCAGGCTGGACGGGGCAGCCTGGGCTGCTATGAAACGTGGAGGTTGGCGGCCCCGCACGTGGCAGGGAGTTGGAGATTCGTGATCCTTGGGGCCCCTTCCACCCCTGGCCGTTCTGTGATTCTGTGAACTGAAGAGCGACGGATCAGCCTGCAGAGCAGAGCCAAGGGCAGCGGGACACGACGGAGCTCCCGGCCAACACGCAAGATGGCTGCAGCCGGGCTCGGTGACACGCAGCAGCGCTCAGCCCGGCGGGTCCGCGGCCACCCGGAGGTCACCCGCCCGCACCGGGGCCGAGCAGCTCCGCTCAGCCCGGCGGGCCCCGGCCGCCCTCCGGGCACCGTGCCCTCCCCACGGCCGCTCCGCGCCCCGCCGCCGGACCGAACCTCCCCGCTGCCGCTGCCCGCCCGAGGCCCGCCGCCGCCTCTCACCGTAGGGCTGCCCGCCCAGCTCGTACTGCTGCATGCGGTACACCGTGAACTCGTGGGCGGCCTCAGCGGCGGGCGGCGGACCCAGGAGCAGCAGCACGGCGGGGACGAAGAGCAGGAAGCTGAGCGGCAGGCACGAGGCCTTCAGCACCGACTCCAACACCTCGCCCGCCTCCTCCAGCATCGCCGCGGCCCCGACCCGCCGCTGCGGCCTGCACCGCCTGCACCGCCTGCACCACCGGCACGCACGGCACGGCGCGACGTGACGCGAGACGCGTGACGTAATCACACACCGCCCCCCTCCTCCCCCGGCGACCTGCTGGGAATTGTAGTTCCTGCCTGGCCGCAAAGGATGCTGGGAGCTGTAGTCGCGGCAGCGTGCGGCCTGGCCTGCAGGGGGCAGCACCACTTCCGGTAGTGGAGAAGAGACTGGGAGAGGGCACTTCCGGTAGTGGAGCGGGCACTGGGATCAGGCACTTCCGGTAGTGGAGCAGGCGCTGGGAGCGGGCACTTCCGGTAGGGGAGCGGGCACCGGGTCCCGCCGGGCCTGCGGGGATCGGGGGCACCGCGCGCGCCCATCTCGCGGCTCCGTGCCCTACCGGCTGCCGCAGGGGGCGGCACTGGGCCTCCTACTGCGGGATCCGAGCTGCCCCGCGCCCGAGACTCAATAAAACCGCACCAAACGCGGGCTTCCTGACCGATGATTTTATTGTAAGCTTTTAAGCTTCTCCGCAGGGCCCGGCTGGCTTTGGCTTCGCACGGCGATGGGGGGTAATTGGATGCTGTTCTCTGTCGTAACGTCGCTCTGCAGAAGGCCCCTTTCAGGAGCTCGCACAGCACAGCGCTCTGCCCGCCCCTGGAACCGCCCTTCCTGTGTCTGTGTATCTCAGCGCCCCGCTCCTGCCCGGGGTCTTGCAGCACCTCGGCACCCCTCCTGCTGCTTTGTCCCGCGGGCCGGGGCTGCAGCGCTGAGCCCTGGGCAGCGGTGGGTGCAGACGTGGCTGCTGGTGGCCCAATTGCCTGCAACCCTCAGTTCTCATCTCTGCTGCTGATAACTCCTAGAAGTCCAAATGGGGAGTGCAGTCTCTGTGCCGTGGGACGCAGTGGGGCTGAATGCCCTCACAAGAGCAGGTACAGCACCTGTATACGTGCACATATGGAGCAGCACCCACTCCTACTCCAGCACAGCATCCATCTGAGCAGAGCTTCTATCCCAGCCTGTGCCTGTATCCCTCACTGTCTCCAGGAGCATGTTTCTATGCCACCTCCTGCTCAAAGCCTGGCCACAGTCAGCAGCGGGGGTGGGACAGCATCTGACACGGTTCTGATAGGCCACACCCAGCACCCTGAGGTCCCGGCAGGCTCTCTGGACCACTTTTGGCCTCTCAGAGACTGGGCAGGTTGCTCATCATGCTGGAGTTGCTGGAGAGAGGTGCTCTGGGCCGTAGGATCGGGGCTATGGGGCTGCGGAAGCTCTCCCGGTAGCGCAGGGAGCTCTCGGTGGATGAACCAGAGTTGATGTCAGTGATGACCAGGCAGTTCCCAGGCTTGCAGAGCCCGATCCTGATGCAGCAGCAGCACAGCAGGCTGCACACGGCACGGCGCACCTCCACGCTCCGCAGTGAGTAAATGATGGGGTTTATGCCCGAGTTGAGCATGGCCAGAGCCAAGGTCCAGTCCAGGCTTTGCAGCAGCCTGCAGGTGTGCGTCTCACAGAACACATCGAAGAGCATCAGGGCGAAGAGGGGGCTCCAGCAGATGATGAAGGCGCCCAGGATCATCAGCACCGTCTTGAGCAGACGGAGGGAGCGCTTGCGGCTGTGCCGAGAGGTAGTTTGCTTTGAGCTGGCCTGGACCAGCTGGAAGATGGAGATGTAGAGGCCGATGATGCCCAGCAGGATGATGCTGAACATGACCACAGAGAAGAGGATGTAGTTCTTGGAGTAGAGGGGCAGGAGAATGGAGCAGGTGCTGAAATCGCAGAGGCAGTTCCATCCCAGCAGCGGGAGCAGCCCGATGACGAAGGCCAGCAGCCAGCAGAACACGATGAGGCCGCGCAGGCGCAGCGTCTTGCTGGCCTCGTTCTCAGCGATCGGCCGCACCATGGCGCTGTACCTCTCGATGGCCGTCACCAGCAAGCTGAAGGTGGAGGCGGCCAGAGCGATGAAGAGGATGCCCTCCCGCAGGAACCAGAGCTGAGGGGACAGCTGGAAGGTCTTCTTGCCTGAGAGGCAGAGGTTGGAGAGGTAGGCGATGCCGGCCAGCAGGTCGCTGACGGTGATGCTGGCGATGCAAGAGTAGACCCAGCGGCGTGCCCGCAGGCAGCGCAGCACAGCCAGCAGCACCAGCAGGTTCTCCAGGATGATGGCACAGCTGATGATGACGAAGATGGTGCGGAGCAGGCCCATGCCCTCATCCCGGGAGTGCCGGTTGGTCAGCTTGCCGGAGAAGTTGTAGTGCTGCAGGATGATGTTCACATTCCGCATGGCAGCCAGCTGCAAGCAGGAGCTCTTCTTGTCGAGGAGGTCCATTCTGAGCTCGGGATATTGAGCAGAAAGGGAGAAGGAGCGATTCAGCATCCAGCTCAGCCCTGGGCCATCCAAATTCTGAGCACCGAGGGCTCAGGTGAGGTTCTGAGCAGAGCCAAGCCTCTGTTTGAGGGCTGGAGGCAGTCCAGTGTAGAGGTGGGAGTCAGAGCCCCATCTGCCAGCCCCAGAGTGCTGTGAGAACAAGGGGAGAGGCGGGTGAGGTGTTTTGTAAGGCCATGCTCGAGCAGGGTCTTCCTGTTGTTTAATAAAGTTTCCTGTTGTGAGCTAGAAGATTGGCATGGTTTCTGGCAGCTGTCGTCATTTCTCAATAAGGAGAAATCATGGGGTGGGATCTGTTGGTTTGAGTGCTGGCATGAGTGCCCCGGCAACTGCTGGGGCTTTTGAGGCATTCATTCACCCCTCAGAGCAGCTGCCCTCCACCCACTGCCCCATGCACACCTGTGCCCAGATCCACCCTTCTCCAGGAGGAATTCTGTGCTCTCACCCTCCTGAGGACCTCCAGACACGGAACCCCACATGTAGCCCCCAATGCACCAATCCAGGCGCCTGCTGCTCTGCAGCCAGGGCTCAGCTGCACCCCGCTGCAGGGAACCAGATGCTCCAAGCCCTCTGCGTGCACCCTGCACCCGGACACCTGCTGCAGACAGGTCAGGGTCTTCCCACTGCCTACATAATCTGCAGGATTCTGAGGCACAGAGCCGAAGGGGCTGTGCTGGGATCAGGAGCCAAGAGCCCCAACCCAACTGCAGGACTGATGTCTGTCACTCATCTATTCCCTACATCTGCAAAACCCACCTGGAGGGACATTCTTGCACCGCACCGTTCCCAGCCCCAGTTGTTGAGTTTTGGACTCACCTGGCATGGCTCGTGCTGCCAGGATGGGGCACAGCAGCCAGCACTGCTCCCCAGCTGCTCGTTGGAGGCCCAGTGCAGTAGGTAATGAGGAGGGTGAAAGCAGCGAGGCTGATACCTACCAACGTGAAGAAAAAAAAAATAGAAAAAAGGGAAGTTACAACATCGTCAACCACATCTCTCTGCAAGGATGGACCCACCCAAACATCTGCAAAGAAAGAGCATCAGGATCACAACTGAACCCTGTTCTCAGTGCAGACTGACTCGGAGTCATGGAGAGGTCCCCAGGCAGAGCTGGGCCATCCCACTGGTGTGGGATGTGGGGATTTCTCCTGGACTGTGGCACGAGCGCATGGAAAATGCAAAGGATGTTCCGGTGTTCCTCCTGCAGGAGATGGTGTGCAACAAAAGTGGTTCTGATGGAAAACAGAGGGGCTCCAGGCTCCACGTTTGTCTTTTCAGCTGTTGGTACCAGTTTGGTTTCGCTGTCAGTGGAGCTCGTGCTGATACGGTCAGCAGGTGGCCCTGAGATTGAAGGAGCAGAAATCAGCGGGAAGAATGAGCCCTAAGCATGGGGAAAGCAGAGTGTGGTGTGCTCAGCCCTTGGTGCAAAGAGTTCAGTCCCAAAGGGGCCATGTCAGCCCCACAGACCCCTCCCAGCGCTCGGCTTTGTCTGAGCCACCGGCAAACGTCAGCTTTGGGAGGCAGAAGATGGAGCAGGTGGAGATGAAGGTCAAGGGATGAAGGGATGTGCCCTGCTAGGGCCTGAAGCAGCTCCTCAAACAGTGAATGGCATCCGAGCAGCAGTGGGAAGGAGGCATCTGATGGCAATGAACATTTTGCCTCCGCAGCCCGATGAGACCAGGGACACTCGGATCACCCCAATGGGTCCTCACTGCTCAGCACTCACACAGCCCGTATGGTGTCCTCCCCACGTGGCACTCAGCCCCCCTCCTCCAGGCCGAGTTCCTGTTCTCTGCCCCATCTCCCCATCGCGATCTGCACAGACACCAGCTTTATCTTGATGCCTCTGCTATTTCAGTTCAGATGTTCTCTGAAATTCAGGGGGGAGGAGAAGGACGCCCTGTCCTGCAGCATCTCTCATCTCTTTCCTGCAGACGAAGGCTAAAGTTTGCTCAAAGCTGCCCCACTCCATCACCCAGACCCTGGCGACAAACCTCAGACCCCCGGTCACTGCTGTCCTTGTCCCATTCAGCCCCCAGCCCTGGTCACACCGCAACAAAACAATCTGTGGGGCAGGTTCTGACAGACAAGTGGACACTGCCAACCCCACCGCTGTGCCACCTCCACCCATCCGTCCCTGCAGGTGTTTTGCTGCCCCAGGAAGGGTGGAGTGGTGCTGGTTTAGAGATGACTTGATTGCTGCTGGCGGTTGGAGCATGAGTTTGTGCTGCTGTCTTGCAGCAGGTGGGGGTCCTTCCTGTGGAGCATCACAGCAGAAAGCCCTAAAAGAACCTCTCCATGCACTGAGCCCAGGAACCAGCACGTCTGCAGCACTCAGAGGGTCATCAGGATGCAGTTGGGGCCCTGCAAAAAAAGAATTCACTGAACCTCTGCAGGAAAAACAAGAACACGAAAGAAAGTTTCACTGTTGTCTCCTTCTGACCACATTAATGGCTTTAAAAAGCAAAGAGGGAAGGGAAAAGAAAGAAAAGATCCACCCAACTTTTTTTTTCTTTTCTTTTGTCTTTAGAAGGTTGGTTCAATTTTGTCTGTAGAAAAAAAACATGAAATAGAAAACAAGCAGTGGTGTGAAGTGCCTCTCCTCCCAGAAATCCTCCTTGGGGTTGGGTTTGAGCCTCATCCATGCTCTGGTTTTCTTTTGAGGAAGCATTTCACGCTCTGGGAGCACAGGAACAGAGGTGGTGTTCCATGTGGGGCACACACACCTGGCAGAACCCTCATGGGACAGCAGTGGGGCTGGTGGGCACAGCCCTGGGGGTTTGGGGCAGAAAGCAGCCTGGGAACAGGCACAGAGGGGTCTGTAGGAAAACATCCATAGCAGGACTGGGAATTTAATGTTGCATAGCAGGACCAGGAACTTCAGCATCCCATAGCAGGACGAGGGGTGATGTCTCCGTGGCATGGAGGGGCTGTTAAAGCTGCACACTGCTGATTGCCCCATGATCACCACCTGCTGGGTTTTTCCTCTCTTACCACCTGCAGTTAGAAACCCAAATAAACTCAAAGAACCTGCCCTGAGCTCAGCCACCACTGCTGGGAGGGCTGTGCCAAGGCAAAGCCGCCCTGAGAGCCAAAGCACCCAAGGATGGGAAGGAGCAAAGGCCTCTTTAAGCCCATGAGCGTATGGCAGGATGTCCCCAGTGACTGCTGCCCGCTCCTTATCTCTGTGTTGGCAGAGATCTCTCCCAGCAGCTGACCCCCCCTTGTGCCCCTTCCAGTAGAGGACCCTGAGATGATTACAGTGATGAGCAATGTGAAATCTCTCCGCAGCAGAGCGGACGCTTCTCAGAACCACAGAATCAATCACAGAATCAAATGGACCTCTGGAGCTCCCCTGCCCACCCCTCAAAGCAGTTCCTTACGGCAGCTGCATGGAGTGCAGCTCTGTAAGATTTGATAGATGGAAGCCCCAAGGAGCAAAAAGCAGTGCAGCGAAGTGGGACAGCCTGGCAGGAGGGGAAAATGAACGGCTGGGAAGAGCAATCAGGAAGGAGAGCTTCTAACAGTGCAGGGCCGGGTGGCACAGCTCCCTCTGAGGCTGCAGCTCCCCATGCAAACTGCAGGCTCAGCTGCCACCCGCGAGCCAGAACTGGGAGAACACAGATGTGCTGTGCGTGGGGTCTGCGCCCTCTGCACAAAGATTTGCTGACCCGAGGCAGTGCTGCGCTGCTGTTCCACTGATTGCAGCCCCTGAGCACGTGGGCACATGAGCAGCAGAGATGCAGATAGCCCGGTGGGATGCTGCACTGCTCTGATTAAAGCAATCAGCCCATCGCACATGGTTTCCTGGCTGTAGGGTACAGATGCTCCAAGCTATAAAAACACCCCTCGGGCAGCAGGAGGGAGGCTCAGAGCTCTAAGCATCCAACGGGGAGAGGAGATGTGTCGTCCCCATTGCCCACTGTTGCTGGCCCTGCTGCTGCTGCTCTCCTGCCCACGGGCTGATGGCAGTAAGAGGAGAGCTGCACGGGGCTGCTGCTCTGTGCTCCGTCCCATGGGCTCACCCCATTGTGCCTTGCAGGTGCTCTGCGGGGTCGGATCATTGGGGGCCACGAGGCCCAGCCCCACTCCCACCCCTACATGGCGTACCTGAAGGTGGGGCATTCTGCCTGCGGGGGGTTCCTGGTGGCCTCCGACTGGGTGATGACGGCCGCACACTGCTTGCTGGGGTGAGTACTGCACACAGGAGCTTCATCCTCCTCTTCCTCCCCATCTCTGGGGTTGTTTTGGAGCAGCTCTCCCCACCTTTCTGCAGAAGGGGTGGGGAGGTGGGGGTGGGACCCGACTGGTTCTCCTCTCCCTTTTATGCCACGCTCAGGAACATCACCGTCATCCTGGGGGCTCACGAGATCTACCAACCAGAGCAGAGCCAGCAGGTCCGCGGGGTCCTCAGATACCACCCACACCCTGCGTACAACCCCGACACCTTGGCCAACGACATCATGCTGCTCAAGGCAAGGCAGCCCTGAGGGGCAGAGAAGGGCTGGGGGCAGCGGGACCAAACAGAGCATTGCACGCAGAGCGCCCTGTGCCAACCGCCACTTCTGTGGGGTGGGACCCCATTTGCAGGCTGTACATCCCACCAGCCTTCCCCTCCATCCTCCTCCCACTCTGCTCACAGCCCTCCTCTCTCCCAGCTGACAGCAAAGGCCAAGCTCAACAAATACGTCCGCACCGTTGAGCTGCCCAAAAGCAGCAGCTACCTCCCCACGGGCACCTCGTGCACCATAGCAGGATGGGGCCTGATTGATAAGGACCAGATAACAGACAAACTCTTCGAAACCAAAGTCTCCATCTACAGCCGCAGGAAGTGCATTCTGTTCTACCCACACCTCGACGACGGCATGGTGTGTGCCGGCAGCTTCCACGAGCTGAAGGACTCCAGCCAGGTATGGATGCAGAGGGGACACTTCTGGGGGGTTTCCAGGAGAGATGGTGGTCCATGGAGCATGGCCAGCAGGAGCAGGTCTGGCCCTGGGGAAAAGGACGGAGGCGATGCCGTTCCTGTTGGGAAGAGGTGATCCTTTGAACGGCAAAGCCATTCCTGCTGGGAAGAGGTGATCCCATTGGGTAGAGAGGGAAATCCATTCCTGCTGGGAAGGGCTGATTGCATTGTGTAGAGGCAAAGCCATTCTTGTTGGAAAGAGATGATCCTGTTGGGTAGAGGCAAAGTCCCTGGGAAGAGGTGAGGTCAATCCCGTTGAGAAGGGCAAGGCCATTCCTGCTGGGTAGAGGTGAGCCCACCTCTGTTAGGACGAGGCTCCCACCACTGATCCCATCTCTCTGCAGGGTGATTCCGGAGGGCCACTGGTGTGCAATAAGGTTGCTCAGGGTGTTGTTTCCTTCGGGTACGACAGCCCGCCTGGTGTCTATGCTCGCATTGCCAACTACCTACCCTGGATCAAGCAAATCATGAGGAAGTAACGGTGCAGCGCCAGCCCTGGAGACCTGCTGGGTTCCTTCCTGCCCCCACTGATGGCTCCATTCCCCTCTCTGTCCCTGGGAACCCAAGTGTCCCAATGGATGCCCATAAGGTCCCTCCCTTTGCTCCAAGGCTGATGGCTGTCCCACTGCCGGCCCATTTTGGTGCCACATTGTCACCCAGCAGAATTCCCATGTGGCACCAGAATGCAGTGGCACTACTGCAGAACCCCTTTCCCTTGGACACCCCTTCCCTGCTTGATCCTGAAACACCCCCAGTAAACTCTGAGCTGAATTCCCCAGCATTTCTGCCTTCTTCTTTCTTATCCCTCGTCCCGGGAAGAAGGGAGGGTTGGGTCAGTCGTGCTTCTCCTCTCCGTGGTGGGATGGCAATGGCAAAGACACTGAGGTCCAGAGAAGGACCCACCTCTTTTCCCAGCTAACAACAGTAGGACGAGGGGTGATGGTCACGTGTTGTTCCAGGGGAGGTGCAGGTTGGATATGAGGAACAATTTATTCACCAAAAAATGGTGATACATTGGCATGGACTGCCCAGGGGGGTGGTGGGATCACCATCTCTGGAGGTAAGAACCACGAAGAGGTGGCACTTGAGGACGTGGTCAGAGGGCACGGTGGAGGTGGGCTGGGGTTGGTCTGGGGATCTGAGAGGTGTTTTCCAGCCTTAATGACTCCATGAATCTATCAGTGGGCATGGTGGGGATGGTCTGATGGATGGACTTGATGTCTTGGATGTCTTTTCCAACCTTAATGATTCTATGATGAGCTGGATGGAAAGGGAAAGCGACGTACATATCCCATCCATCCCCTTCAGAATGCCAACAGCCCTCCAGTGTCCATCTCTCTGAGCAGGGACACGGATAGGAGCTCTGGAAGCATCATAGTGAAAGGGCTGGGCAAGGACCTGGGGACTAAAGATAGGCGAGGCGGCAGGGCAGAGCAGCTCCTTGCTGCAGGATGCCAGATGTTTACGCAAGTTCCAGGAGAGAATGTGAGGGTTTGTGGAGGGGAAATCCAGTGTGAAATTTTGAACATACAGAAACTGTGAGCAATTTGAGGGAACAGGATGCTTGCCCTGTTCTCAGAGCCTTTCCTAGGCTTCCACTCAGCCGTATCTGCCAAAGGGAGGAGATGGCTGAAATACGCCGTGGTCCAGCCCTGTTGTGTGCCCACGCTCTCCCTGCCCTTGCCTGGAGGAGGTGATGCCACCACGGCTCCATGGAGAAACCAAGAAGGATCCATGCTCTGGGCTTCTGCTAACAGCTCCTATCAACCAGTACATCTGCAAGTGAAAAGGCTGCAGCTGCTGCAACTGCTTATCTGTAGGGTGTGAAACAAATCTCTGTCACTTTGTCACGTCAGGTTTTTCCTTGATGCTCTGTCTGCAGCAGTCTTTGCACGAGAATGACAGCTTTCTGCTCAAGAAGGGCTCTGGGGGCAGGAGGGAGGGCGCATTTCCCAGCAGCCAGCATCAGGCCCATTTCGTCATCACCAGAGGAAGGAACTGCCAGTTTGGGGCATGACCCCTCCTATAGGGCCAGCGGATGGGCAGTATCCCAAACCCTCCTCCCCACAGACCAGGGACAGAGGCAGCCCTGGGCGCCATCCTTCTGAGGGTGGAGGGGCAGTGAAGCATTGTTTAATGGGGAACAATCACATCTGGAGTCAGTGGAGTCCAGTTGAGTTGAGTCAAGACCAGTAGAGTCCACTTGAGTGAAGTCTGGTGTTGTCAAGCTCAGTGGAGACAAGTCCAGTAGAGCAGAATCAAGTTGAGTTGAGTTCTGTAGAGCCCAGTAGAGTAGAACGGAGTAATTCAGGTGGAAGGGACGTACAAGGATCACCAAATCCAACTTCCTGATCACTTCAGGGCTAACCAAAACTTCAAGTATTTTATTATGGGCATTGTCCAACAGCCAGAAGGCGCCTTGCTAGGAAGCCTGATCCATGTTTGAGCACCCAAACTAGAAAGAACACATAGAAGGGTGTCTTTTTCCATACACAGCAGGGCTCCAAAGCAGCAGAGCAGGGGCCTCGTGGTGCCAGCAGTGGTGTTGCTGTGCAGCTCCCTGCCCTCAGCCAGCCATAACCTACGTGGTGTTTTGGGGGGCTGCTCCTTGGGCTCCGACCGCATCTACCAAGAAGAAGTAGGAGGGTCCTCGGGGCCTTCTTGGAGACGGTACATCATGTAAAAGAAATCTTTGTTTTGCAAGGCTCATGATAACATCAAGAGATGCAAAGAGTTGCGAAAACAACAACAACACGGGCTGCAGTGTGATGGGGTGGACGTGCTCCCTACAGCCTCCAGCTCAGAGGCCATGGGATAACGCAGCCTTTGGGTCCAGGAGGGCTCCAGGTACCCCAAATCCACCCCACATGGAGGTGGACCATTGCCCAAAGCTGCCTGAATTCCCCTCTCAGATTGCTGAGGTTTGCACTTTGCAGTGAGATTAATCAGATGAAGTGCGACCTCTGTGGTTTCCTGGAGTCTCGTCTCAGGGTATAAATTCTTCCTGAGAGCAGGAAGAGACCCCACTCACAGCCTCACCCCTGGGGCATCCTCGAGGCCATGCAGCACCCACAGAGACTCCTGCTGACCATCCTGCTGCTGGCGTGGCCTCTGGACACGGCTGGTGAGTAGAGAGGCTGTGGGGTGGATTGAGGGGTCCGTGCCCCACGTCCCCATCCCATCCCCACGTCCCCATCCATTCCCACGTCCCCATCCATTCCCACGTCCCCATCCC